TTTGCTTGCTTCTGGAGTCAGAATCACACTCCAACACTTTATTTTCTTGCGCGTACTCTAAACTCCTTTGACCTCTTGCTTTGCCACTGCATCCGTCTCAGTGTGAGCTATCTGCCTACCTGGTGCTTGCCTCTGAGCACAGGCAAGGTGTGCCTCAAGATCAAACACAAGGGCAGATTGCTTGCCCCAGTTTTGGGTGTATGTTCACTCACTGAGCAATTCTATATGTTTCACCGGGAACATCACACCCCCACTCTCTTCAATAGCTTCTTTTCTCATCTCTTAATTTCTCATAAATGAGAAATAACCTTGATCCCTAACATACATGCATGCCCAGTTGCTTCAGTCGTGTCCAACTCTTTGCCACCCTGTGGACTGCAGCCCGCCAGGCTCCTCTGTCCATGGGACTCTCTAGGCAAGGATACTGGAGTGGGTTGCCATGCCCTCCTCCAGGGGATCTTCCTGACCCAGGGATTGAACCCACACCTCCTGTGTCTCCTGCACTGCAGGCTCATTCTTTACCCACTGAGCCACCTGGGGAGCCCTGATTACCTCCATTCCTAATATCCAGAGAAAGGATTATAATACCAACAGTGCACAGTAATTGAAGCATATTATGTGTGTTCTAAATATTTCATATGTACCACCCCAGTTAATCCTTATAACCATAATCTAAAACACTTAGACTGATAACTGAGCATATTGAGCTCAATCATTAGTGCCTGTTGTTTTTGTTATTAAATTAAGAAACCAGAGTTCCACTCAGTTACTGCAGCATCATAGTCCAGCCCCATCAGGTCAGCTGCTGTTTCCTCCTCCTCTTTTTTAAATTAATATGTTTTTAATTTTTATTTTTTTTAAATTGGAGGATGATTGTTTTACAATGTTGTATTGGTTTCTGCCATTACGACAACTCGAATCAGTCTTATATGTTGATATACCCCCCTCCCTCTTGAGCCTCCCTCCCCCTTCCCATCCCACCTGTCTAGGTCATTACAGAATGCCATGCTGGGCTTCCTCTGTGTGTAGAAGTTTCCCACTAGCCATCTCTTCTCCACATGGTAGTGTATATGTGTCATTGCTACTTTCTCAAGTTGTCCTGTTTATCCGGCCCTGTCCTTCCCCTGTTGTGTCCACGAGTTCATTCTCTATGTCAGTATCTCCATTTTTTCCCTGTTAACAGAACCATCAGTACTATTTTTCTAGATTCCATATATATGAGTTAAAATATGATATATTTTTTTCCTCTTTCTGACTTTGTTGTTGCTGTTCAGTTGCTGAGTCATGTGTGACTCCATATGTGACCCCATGGACTATAGCACACTATCCTTCACTATCTCCCGGAGTTTGTTCAAATTCATGTCTGCTGAATCAGTGATGCTACCTAACCCTTCCTAACCTTTGCTCTCTAACCCTTGCTAGCTAACTGATGCTTCAGCCCTTCCAGTGAATATTCAGGGTTGATTTCCTTTAGGATTGACTGGTCTGATATCCGTGCAGTCCATGGAACTCTCAACAATCTAGTGGGGTGGTATGGGGTGGGAGGTGGAAGGGAGGTTCAAGAGGAAGGGGACATAAGGGTACCAATGGTAGATTCACGTTGATATATAGCAGAAACCAATACAGTATTGTAAAGCAATTATCCTCCAATTAAAAATAAGTACGTTTTTTAAAAAAAAGTCTTCTCCAGCACCACAATTCAGAAGAATCACTTCTTTGGCACTCAGCCTTTTTTATGGTCCAACTCTCCTATCTGTACATGACTACTGGAAAAAACCATAGCTTTGACTGTATGGACCTTTGTTGGCAAAGTGATGTCTCTGCTTTTTAATACGCTGTCTGGGATTGTCATAGTTTTCCTTCCAAGGAGCAAGCGTCTTTTAATTCCATGGCTGCAGTCACCATCTGCAGTGATTTTGGAGCCCAAGACTTACTTCACTCTGTATAACGGGTTCTAGGTTCAGCCACCTCGCTACAACTGACTCAAATTCATTCCCTTTTATGACTAATATTCCATTGTCTATGTGGGCCACATGTTCTTTATTCATTCATCTATCAGTGGACATCTAACTGTGATCAGAAATCTTTCAACAAACAAAAGCCCAGGGCCAGGTGGCTTCCTGCCCCTTTCGCGCTCACTCTTGTTTCCACACTGTGCTTGCCCTGCCTATGCTGGCATCACTCTTCCTCCGCTAGCCTGCCCGTGGCTTCTTGCTTATGGATGACGATCCAGTGCTGTGTTCTTTCTCCCAGGGGTCTTCCTTGACCATCCCCGACCCCACATGCAGCATGCTCACATCCCTCTTTAGTCCCGCGTTACACACGTGTGTGTATTGTAGCCCTGTATCTCATCGGTATGACTTTCTCCAGGGTAAATGGGAAAGGAATTCTCTGTTACTGCCTGCCCTTCAGTAACTTCATCGAATCTACACACAACCCAGTGAGGTGGATGGCGGTCACCTCATTTGGCAGCGGAGAAGCCTGATAATGGAAACTCTTAGTGGCCGTCCCCCAAGACGCACCGCCAGTGAAAATCAGAGCTGAGTTTCTACCAGCAGGTCTGCTTTGATCTAAATCAGCCTGTGTTCTTTCAGCTACACCTACTTCACATTCCTAAGTTGAAACCATGTTTTAGAAGCTGCCGTTTGTTTTGATGGGTGCTCCGCTCGTTACGCAAGCATGGTTTTACTTGGAGTTTGATTTCTGTATGGTGGGTGCCCAATGAATGCACGCTCTCATTGTCACGCAAGCGCACTTTTCTTGGACCAGGTTCAAACACTGGCCACATTCACAGGTACATTTTGCTCTGTCACCATATGTTCCTTTATTCTTGTCATACTTTCTTGAAATAAAATCTTTCCAACTGATTTGTAATCAACAATCATTTTTTTAAAACTAGGAACCATTTATTTGTAATATTTCTTAAAACCTCATAGTCATATACTTTGTGACTTCTGTGTTGGCGTTTTCTTTTCTGATTATTGAATGTGCCTCCCGAAGTTAAAATTGCCTGATCTGTAACTACTAGGTCAGATTTTCAAGTAATTGCACTGGTAATTTGAAATCGTTTTACTCACTTTTTCTCTACTTCCCAAGCTTCTGGCACCAAGGATAGGGTAAGGGATAGTAGGGAGTTTGGGATGGACATGTACACACTGCTGTATTTAAAATGGATAACCAACAAGGACCTAATATATAGCACGGGAACTCTGCTCAATGTTCTGTGGCAGCTTGGATGGCAGGGAAGTTTGGGGGAGAATGGATACATGTATATGTGTGGCTGAATCCCTTTGCCACCCACCTGAAACTTTAACAACATTGTTAATCGGGCTATACCCCAATACAAAATAAAAGGCTTAATTAAAAAAAAAAAAAACATGCCTTGTAGTTTGCAAACTGTCCTTAACTAAACAGCTGCCAATTTGCTTGGGGTGGAAAGCAAGAGTAATTAGATTCAGGTGACAGAGGCAGTGTGAATGAAACTTTAAAAATAGTTTCCACAGGTCTGGACTGAACTGTGGCAGGTGGTGTCACAGTTCGAACACCAGCTCTACTCTCGAGAAACGAATCAAGAATGCCAAATGAAAAATTCTCTGTTAAAAGATGCCAATCTTTCATAAAGCTAAAATTGATTGCAGTTGTTAAGTGTATGAGTGCTTACAGAGAAGTGAGTTGGATTATGGTATATTAATATACACTCAGTGCAGTTGTGCTGTGTTCATTAAAGCTTCATAATCTGAATCTGTACCAAGACCATTGTACTCTGAAAAATATATCCTTGTGCAAAGCTGGGTCAATGAAAATACCAGGATTCCTGAGTAGGGAACAACAGGCATATGTGTGTGTATTGTATTTGTATATGTGCATACCATGCTAATATATCACTACCAAATAAAAGCACACCTATATCCATATGTATGTATTTAACTTGTCGTTAGTGATTGAAATAGATTTTCATATCTTTAAAAACACTCAGTGTTGGCCGAACTTACAGTGTAAAACCCTGAATTTTCCACTTTGTCGTTGTCACTTGGGGTCAGTCACCCTTAAGTCAGCTTGCTGAATTCTTATCTCCCTTCCAGTTCTTCCACTCAGTAAAAGAAGAAAAGCAGAGACAGTAGGTGCATACACCTATAATTAGAGGGAGAAAAATAGGTCAAACTCCTCCTGTCATATGATCTTCCTTTAACAGGTTTCTCCCAGCCACTCTGCCTCTCCTTCTGTGTGTGTGTTGCGGGGGGGTGGGGGGGGGGACATTCTCTTACTGCGCTTTTTACCGTGGGCCCTTTAAGCAAGACCAACCAAGCAACTGTCACAGGGCCTGCAACTGTCAGAGATTCTGCAAGTTTGTTTCTGGATTCTTAAATACATATAGTTCAGGAAAGGCTTAAGCATTAATCATGGCTTCTGATTCAAACCCAGCCTCTGAGGATGGTTTTCAAGGTAAGAAATTGATCGTGGTGTGTGGGGGGTGGAGAGGGGGAAAGGGGGTTCATGCCCTGGCCTTAGCAGAAAGTTTTTTATGCTGAGATGTGTTTATGGTGAGAGATGACTACTAACACATAGTTAGTATTATACAGGGTATGCTGAATAAGGACTTACTGGCCATGTTTGAGATAGTTTTTCAGCAATAGCAATGCCATTAAACCCCTTTACCTGTGTTTCTCTTATCTTGTCAGCTGACAGGGATTGGGGGTTCAGTTTTGACTCCAGAATGCAGATTTTTCTGAACAAAGTTAATAAAACTGGTGCCTCCATGTTTTAAGAAACCATCTTAGAGTTCAGGCTCTCATATGTTAAATGTTTATCAAAGCTACAGATACCAGAACAAATTCTCCTTGATACATGCTTTTAGGTATACTTCATCTGAGAATATTCTCAGAAAAATATTCATAATTTACCAACTTGTGTACATCTAAGAAGTGACCTTTCTAATGATTTAGACAATATGATCTAAGTTATTCTTTTCATGGAAGTTTTACCCCAAGTCTTTATTTCAGCTCCAGTGTGCTGCTCTGCTCGTTACAACCTAGCATTTTTATCCTTTTTTGGTTTCTTCGTTCTCTATTCATTACGGGTGAATCTGAGTGTTGCACTAGTGGACATGGTGGATTCAAACACAACTGCCAAAGATAACAGAACGTCCTACGAGTGTGCAGAGCATTCTGCTCCCATAAAAGTTCTTCACAACCAAACGGTGAGTGCTGTTTTTTTCAAGCCGACAATCTTAATCGTAAAATACTTCCAGGTAAACATATTGAAAAACATTGAATTTGTTTGTCCTACAGAAACACAAACTCTTTCTTCATGTAAACCTGAATCATTTTCTTTCGTGTTTTCCCAGTCACTGGTTAGCTACTGCTGCTGCACCCTGATCTGTTTGAAAAGTGACTTTTCAGTTTCCTCCATAAACGTTTAATGCCGTCCTTGAAGAGAGTTTGGAAAAACCTGTCTGGCATACTGGGAAACTAGATTGGTTTAGATGTTGCTGAATAGTTTTTATGGGAACAATATTTAATAGCTGTACTCTTTAAAAGGTTCCTGTTGCAGGAGAACTTTCAAAATTTTATTTCTTTTTGGCTACGCTGGGTCTTTGTTGCTGCGTGGGTTTTTCTCCCCTTGTAGCAAGTGGGGCTCCTCTCTAGTTGCGGTGCGCAGGCCTCTCATTGCGGTGGCTTCTCGTTGCGGAGCAAGGGCTGTAGGATGCACGGGCTTCAGTAGCTGTGGCACACAGGCTCAGTAGTTGCAGTTCCCCAGACTCTAGAGTACAGGCTCAGTAGTTGTGGTGCTTGGGCTTAGTTTTCCACGTTATGGGGGATCTTCACGGGCCAGCGATCGAGCCTGTGTCTCCTGCATTGTCTGACTGATTCTCTACCACTGATCCACCAGGGAAGCCCTCTGTTGCAGGAGAACTTAAAGAATCTCAACTACAAGGATGAAAAATAAGAATTCATCAATTTCTTTTCAAAAATCTATAGCCTGTCTCACCTAAGCCACTTACATCATTTTGCCCCCCTCGTATTCTAGTGGAATTGATGAGTGCTTGTTCATCATTTGCTTAGAACTGAGTTTTACACATAATAAACGTTTTATTTTGCATGGAGACAATACAGGGGGGAAAGGCTGGTGTCCTTTTACAAGCATATTTTTATCCATCTCCAGTGCTCATCAAGGAGCCAGCTCCCACGTTAGGTGAGTCTTCTCTGCCATTTACAGATGAGAAGACTTCCCTCTTCTCAAACAGGGAAGAGGGTTTCTGCCCCCAAACAAGCACACACACAAAAATAATGACATCAAAAATCTTTACGTTGGACTTTGATGATGCTATTGAATACATGTTAAGGGTACATTTCACCCACTTTCCCTACCTCAACCTGTAACTGCTAGATACTTCATGAAGGCCTGGAATTTTACAGAGAAGCTACAGAATGGTACTGTAAACAAAAAGAATTATGGGTTTGCTTTGTATTTTTCCTTTCCACAAGTTCTTCTGATAATTCAACTACTTGAAAAGTTGTTAGTCACTAATCGTGTCCGACTCTTTGCAATCCCATGGACTCTAGCCCACCTGGCTCCTCTGTCCATGGAATTCTCCAGGCCAGAATACTGGGGTGGGTAGCCATTCCCTTCTCCAGGGTATCTTCCCGACCCAGGGATCAAACCGAGGTCTCCTGCATTGCAGACAGATTCTTTAGCATCTGAGCCACCTATCTGCCCTGCTGCTGCTTCAGTTGTGTCCGACTCTTAGCGACCTCATGGACTGCAGCCTATCAGGCCCTTCCGTCCATGGGATTTTCCAGGCAAGAGTACTGGAGTGGGGTGCCATTGCCTTCTCCGCTATCTGCCCTATATGCACAATAAAAAGAAATCCTGAATGGTTCTTAATTACATGGGTTAGGTTACATGGCTACGTGTACTAACGATTCAGATACCAAGTTGTCAAATCTTCATATTCGGACTTCCCTGGTGGTACAGTGGATAGGAATCTGCCTGCCAATGCAGGGAACACAGGTTCGATCCTTTGTCCTCGAAGATTCTACATGCCATGGGGCAAATAAGCCCGTGGGCCCCAACTCCTGAACCTGTGCTCTGCAATAAGAGAAGTCACTTCAATGAGAAGCCCATGCATCACAGCTAGAGGGCAGCCCCTACTCCGTGCAACTAGAGAAAGCCCATGCACAGCAACAAAGATCCAGCACAACCAAATTTATAAATAAATAAAATTTTAAAATCTTCATATTCACCTTACTGTGTGCTGCTACTAGTTAAAAGACATTTTCTACTCACATGAAGTTTCTGGCTTGGTTTAAATTCTGGCTCTGTTGTACTGCTCTATATCCTTTTTTAAGTGCTTGCTCTGAAATAAGGAGACATTATCTGTATTTTTGCATACTAGTAGCTAGCATTAAGTGATTACTTAGTATGTGTCAGGCCTTATTTTAGGTGCCTTTTCCATTTAATCTTCCCAGGTTACAAACCCAGTAAGTAACAGAGCTGGCCTTTGAACCCAGTCCTAGCTCTAAAGCCTGGCTTAGCCTCTGAAGTATCCTGATCAGTAACTTTCGGGATCAACCCTCTGCCTTTTTGGAGCCTTCTTTGTCACAAAACATCTACAATTCATCCTGTAGTCTAGTTTTATAAAATAGCAAGCATCCCTGCACATTATGACTTTCGATGATTTTCCATTCGCTTCTAGAACCTGCATGTCTGTATCACATTGACTCAACCACCCAAGAGGAAGTCTGCATGTTCTTCAGCCTCCATCAGTGGTTCTGGGGATTTCCTGGTAGTCCAGTGGTTAGGACTTGGTGCTTTCACTGTTATGGCCTGGGCTCAGTCCCTGGTCGGGGAACTAAGATCTCACTGGCCTCACAGCCAAAAAGCAAACGAACAGGAAGAAAAAGAACAGTGGTTCAAAATTGCATTTATACGTACTCACATGCCAGTAAGAGAAAGGAGCCATTTTATCAAGATGTTAAAAGGCTGGGTTTTTTTTTTTAATTTTTTATTTGGTGGAAATTTTCTTTACAATGTTCTGTTGGTTTCTGCTGTACAACAATAGAAATCAGTCATAACTATATATATATATATATATATCCATAGCCTCCCTCAGCTCCCCCCATCCCACCCCCTCTAGGTCATCACAGAATGCCAGGGTGGGCTCCCTGTGTTCTGTAGTGACTTCCCACTAACTGTTTATTTTACACGAGTGTGTATATATGTCAGTGCTACCTCCTCCATTCGTTCCCACCCTCACTTTCCCCTGCTGTGTCCAGAAATCCATCCTCTACTAGTTTCATCAGTACCATTTTTCTAGATTCCATATATATATATGTTAATATATGATACTTGTTTTTCTCTTTCTGACTTACTTTACTGTCTATAACAGGCTCTAGGTAGAAACCTCAGGCACTGTTAGTGGGAATGTAAACTGATGCAGCCGTTATGGAGAAGAATGTGGAGTATTCCTTAAAAAAAAAAAAAAAAAGAGGACTAATACTACCATATGACCCAGCAATCCCACTACTGGGCATATACCCTGAGAAAACTACAATTCTAATAGACATATGCACCCCAGCATCCATTGTAGCACTATTTACAACAGCCAGACGTGGAGGAAACGCCCATGTCCGTTGACAGATGAATGGATAAAGCTGTGGTACATAAACACGATGGGATGTTACTTCACCTTAAAAGACTTTTTTTTTTTCCCCTATTCTTTATAGGGTAAAAAGTACCAGTGGGATGCAGAAACTCAAGGATGGATTCTTGGGTCTTTTTTCTATGGCTACATCATCACACAAATTCCTGGAGGATATGTTGCCAGCAAAAGTGGGGGGAAGCTGCTGCTAGGATTCGGGATCCTTGGCACTGCTGTCTTCACCCTTTTCACTCCCCTCGCTGCAGATTTCGGAGTCGGAGCCCTCGTTGCCCTCAGGGCACTAGAAGGGCTAGGAGAGGTACGCTTTTTTCTCTCATTTTTCTTCTTACCTCTTCTCACTTCTTCTTCTTCACACTCACTTCTCACTTCACACTTCACTTCTGATATCTTCTTAAAGATATCATTCTTTGGTATGAACATGAGCCCCAAAAAATGACACTGAAAGATAACAGGGATTTATTTTTTAACTAAAAACTGATTAAACCATAAAATAACATGAGTAGATTTTTGTTTGTGGTCGATGAGATCTCCAGTGGAAGCACTCCAAAATTAGAAGCTTTACTCAAAGACCAGAGAAAACATTTTCTAGGGGACACTTCGTAGCTCCCCGCTGCTGCCTCTTACTGAGGAGATAAGGAAGTGAAAAAGTGTTAGTCTCATTCAGGCCTTAAATAAGTAGAAGAGTAAAGTTAACGTTGAGAGGAATTGCTTTATATCTGTGTAGGAAAAACACTGACTGCAGTAGTAAAATCCAGTCATATAATAACAGCTAGAAAACTTTGGAAATTGCCAAGTGCTATTTAAATTGAAGCTTTGGTCACTCATCTGAACGATCCTTATCAAATAGAGGTGTACCAAATAAACTCTTCTTGACTACAAAATAAAACTAGCCCCCTAATACCAGGTTCCTCTTCTCCTTACCTAAGTAAAATACCTGTTTTACAGAAAAAGGCACGGAAGTTCTAAGAGGTTAACTAATCTTTCTGAGGCTACAACAGCTAGTGAATGGCCAAGGAGAGCAGTGAATCCACCACTTTGAATCTACCAGAATCTATTCCTTCCTATTCCCTGTAGCATCTCCTCCTCTCCCAAGTCTCTATGGACCTCCCTGCTTCCACTGTTCTATTTCTCCATTATCAGTAATTGGTATTTTTTTTAAATCGAGTTGTAATAGATGTACAATATTCTGTAAATCTCAGATGTACAACATAGTCATTCAAAATTTTTATGGATTATACTCCATTTGTAACTATTATAAAATATTATATTCCCTGTGATATATAATTTTCTGACAGCTTATTTATTTTATACCTAGTGGTTTGTATTAATACCTCTTAATCCCCTACTCCTATCTTTCCCCTCCACTAATTGGCATTTACTAGGCTGATTATGACCAGAAAACTTAAAAAAAAACCATAAACACTCTAATTGAGTGTTTTTTGGTAGGACTATTTTTCCTGTTGATTGGGGTGAATTTGAATTTTCTTCTAGTATCCCACAGTATTAGATCAGTATGTTTAAATTATGTATTGGTTACATTTCCATTTCATTCAGGCCTTAAATAAAGTAGATGAGTAAAGTTAACATTGAGAGGAATCCCTTTATATCATCACTCAATACATTCTATTTTTTATAACCCTTACCTTGTAGTCCTCAAACCAGTTGACAGAATCCACAAATCTTTGTTCAGATTTTTCAAGTACTTCACTATGAGGTATTTTCACTCAACACTGTAAAGGCATGTCACTCCAGGAAACCTGATTCTGGTTTGAGTCTTATCCAGAAATTTCTCTTGCAACAAAATACTCAACGGAATTTAAAACATTAACAAAACGACTTTGTATTTCATCAGAAATGCCTTTTTCCCTTCTCAGGGTGTCACATTTCCAGCCATGCATGCGATGTGGTCATCGTGGGCTCCCCCTCTTGAAAGAAGCAAGCTTCTGAGTATTTCATATGCAGGTGAGATAACCATTTTTATAAAGATTTTTGCTACAGTTTGTTATCTACACATCAACATTGGGGGAAAGGTATACACCAGAATCATGCAATGTCAGGTGTTTCCTTTGGGAAGAAATAAAGTTTTGAGGATACAACTTTGTTATTAATGGTTTTCCTTGGCTCACTAGCATATAGCAATATGGCATAATTGACTACTGTCATTTTCTTCATCTGCCATCCTTTATTTCAAACCATGTTGCCTTTTCAGATATTGGTGTAGAGAATGCTTTAACAGAACAAAATCCCAAAAGAGCTGGAGAATTGAACACTTGTGTCCTTAAATTGTGATTTCTGGTCTGATCATCTCATAAGCATGTCATGACTTTCAGTCCCTCCCTCAGACACCTTTTTTTCCCTATGCATTATTTGCTATCATTTTGATCTATAGGTAAGACAGCATGAGCTTTATATGTGAATTATAATTCCTCCAGCTCACATACTTAATGAAAACTTTTTGACCTGACCACTTTTAAATACAGTGGTTGAGAAAGACCTCTCTTGCAGTGGCTTTTAAGCTAAAATCTGAAGAATGAGATGAACCAGTCATGCAAAGAGCAAAAAGGAAAGCATTCCAGCCAATCAGAACAGCATGTACAAGGACTGTCAGGCAGGAAGTAACATAGTTTCAAAGCAATGAGAAACACTGTAGATGTCTAGAACACATGAATTAAAGAGATAACAGCAGAGAATGGGGTTAGAGAAATAGACAAGAGCCAGATTACATCAAGGCCTACAGGTCACAGGGTTTTTCTTCTCCGAAATGCAATGGGGAAATATTTTACATGAGAGATATGATCTCATGTACATTTTAAGAAGATTCCTTTTTTTTGTTTTCTTTTAAGAAGATTCTTACAGCTGTGTGGAGATCGATGTAAGAAATCTGATAAGAAGCTCAAGAAGAGGCACTATCTGTGGTTCTCCTTTGCCTATTAAATAGTCTGACCTCAAACGAGGGGTCAAGAGTCTTTCTGGTCATTACCGCTTCCTTTTAGCCAGCATAGTCCCTAGCACATAGTGCCTGGCAGGGAGCAGATATTCAACAACTATTCAACCTGTTTCTCTAGCCTTTCTTTTCCTTTCCTTCACCCAGTTGAAGTTCCCAATCCCACTTGCCGCTTTCCTACTTTCATTCCTTACTCACCGTGTTACATCTGCCTCTATATCTTCTTTCTTATGGGACCAGATCTTGCTCATCTTTTCAAAGTCCCACCACTGCCTCTTACATCTTTTCCTGACCTCTGGAGGTCAGAGGTTATCTGCCCTACCTTTGAACTTTCATATTGCTCTGTGACACTCAACACTTTCTAACATATAATAATTATTTGTTTATATTTACTTACTCTATAAGACTAAAACTTGAGACCAGAAACAATGTCTGATTATTTTAGCTCACAGTATACCTACTAAGATGTCCTCTGTCTGGTGGTTAAAATGAGTTCTAGTATTTATTTATCTGATACAAATGTGTGTAGTGTATTTGGAGCAAATTAGATTACTTAAAGCTTTGTTCATTTTCCATCAGATGTGCTGCAGTAGGTTATGTTTAGAGGTCATCTTTGGGCCTTTCCCCCAAACACTTGGCTTTCTAACACATTTACTAGTAATGTGGCATTTACTAGCTCATATTATAATAGGTCTTCCATTGATTGATGCCTTCTAATTCAGCAATAGCTATATAATCATAACAAATGTAACTATATATTAATGTATCCATTTTATATATTATTAGTTTTCTAGTAAATGATCCTTTAGGAGAATGGATTATTTAAATTTGCGTGTAACTAACTCAGTTCCTCTGGCTTCACTGGTGGCTCAGTGGTAAGGAACCTGCCTGCCAGTGTAGGAATGGAGTTCTATCCCTGGGTCAGTAAGATCCTCTGGAGAAGGAAATGGTAACCTACTTTAGTATTCCTGCCTGGGAAATCCAATGGACAGAGAAGCCTGGCGGGCTACAGTCCATGGGGTCACAAAAGAGTCGGACATAGCTTAATGACTAAACAACAACAAACTCAACTCCTATGAGATTTTCTTTTTTAATTCACATATTTCTTGCTGCCCTGGGTCTTCACTGCTGCAGGCGGGCTTTCTCTAGTTACGAGCGGGGGCTACTTTGGAGTTGTAGTGCACAGGCTTCTCACTGTGGTGGCTCCTCTTGTTGCAGAGCACAGGTGCTAGGCCCACGGTCTTCAGTACTTGCAGCTTGTGTACTCAGTACTGTGGCGCAGGGGCTTAGTTGCTCTGCATCATGTGGAATCTTCTAGGGCCAAGGATCAAACCAGTGACCCCTTCAAATGCAGGCGAATTCTTAACCACTAGACCGCCAGGGAAGCCCCACCTATGGGAGCTGATCGCTCTTTTCCTCATAATCTATTGTCCATCCTCTTAGGCAGTAGACCTGTCCCCTATTCGTTCATTTTTCCCCAGAGTTTACAAAGCTTTGTTGTTGTTCTAGGAGCACAGCTTGGGACAGTAGTTTCTCTCCCTCTTTCTGGAATAATTTGCTACTATATGGATTGGACTTATGTCTTCTATTTCTTTGGTAAGTTTATTCAAAATGTAACCTAGATTATGATGTGAGAGGTCTGAAATGTAATAGAGGTTTAATAATTGGTTAAAATATGTATATGCCAACTCAATGAAGTAACCATCTCCTAAACCACAAAGCGCTGAAACACTTACTGATAACCTGTTTTTCAAGTTTATGTGGTTAAAATGATCTGGCTAAGCTGTGACTGGCTGTTAATTTCGGAGTATTTGTTCAATAGAAAGTGCTGTTGAATCCAGGACTTAAATGCTACACTTAACTACAAAAATTGCTATGTCATTTATTATAAAAATGTAAAATATGAAAATATTTCTTCTCAAGCAAACTAGAATACTCTCACTTGGTAATTTTAATCTTTTTTGTTTGTTTGTTTAGCCCCGGGGCCTTTCATTCCTCTGTCTCAATAGCAGGATGATACACATTTTTAATAGGGTAGATAGGGTAGATACCACCTAAACATTTATTCAGGAAATATGTCTGCAATCAAAACAAATAAGTAAACAAAAGCAGATACCTCTGGAAATAATAGATTGTAGACATTTAGTTTTTTAAAGGTTTTGTCTGGTAGACCCTGTTAGGCAGTCATGTGGTCAAAAGTTTTTTGCTTTAGGTGCAAAATTCCCATTATAAAATAAATAAGACTAGGTTTGTAATGTATCACCCAGTGATATTGTAGTGCATACTTGTAAGTTGCCAAAAGAATAGATCCTAAAAGTTCTTATAACAACAAAAAAATTTTTGTGTGGTGACAATGCTAGACATATTGTGGTGAAGTTTATAATTACATAATTTTTTTCAAGACCTAAGTTTAATTGCTGCCTTGGTACATTCTGATTTCATTTTAACTATTATTTTTCTATTTTAAGGCATTGTTGGAATCATTTGGTTTATTTTATGGATCTGCTTAGTTAGTGATACACCAGAAACTCACAAGACAATCTCCCCCTATGAAAAGGAGTATATTCTTTCATCATTAAAAAATCAGGTATGAATTTTGGCACATTTTAAAAATAATTTTGGAAACTTTTTCTTTCAGGTTTAAGATACCAATTTTTTAATGAATATTTCTGTTGTGCACACTCTAGGCAAATTAATATACGAAGTACTGCTTTCCCCAAGATACTTTAATTCTTTCTAGTTTAAATCTATGAAAAATTACTTTTCATTTTAAACCTTCTAGAGTAATGATTTTCAAGTGACTCTCTTTGTCTTTCTTGTTTGGAGAAAATAAGATGTGTTATCTACAAAAGGAATCTTACAGCTACATTCTAAATTTTGTTCTTAGGAAACTAGTGTGTTTTTATCTGTGTTTTAAGTGAGTGTGGTTTAACAAGGACAGCACATTTGCTATGCTATATAGTTTTCTCCTCTAGAATAGACCTTTAGAAAAAATTTATATACACTAAAGTAAGATCTGCTTCACTTAGTTGAGCACAATACCAAATCAGAAATAAAATCTGTCATAATTTAATACAGTAAATTCTCAAGCCCTGGAGATAAAATATTTGTCTTTTAGTGGGAATAAAAGAAGAATCTGAAAACATTAGGAAAAATTAAGATACACAGTCTTTTCTTTAGCATTATTAATGGCTTCATTGTCACTTTATTGGTTTAAAGAACATAAAACATTTCATATAAAACTTTTATTCCCCATCAAGTTATTATTATTGATATTTTCAATTCCCCACCCCCCCCCCGGCTGGTACAATTGTTCTTTTATTCTGTTGTGTTTTACAATCATAAGAGTCAGTGATTTTTTTTTGTTGTTGTTATTATGGTTGATTTACAGTGTTGTGTTCCAGGTGTAGAGCAGAATGACTCAGTTTTATATAGATATATATTCTTTCAGATTTTATTGTAGGTCACTACAAGATATTGAATACAGTTCCCTGTGCTAAAGAGCAGGTCCTTGTTGGTCATCTATTTTCTTCTTTTTTAAATTTTTTTAATCGAAGGATAACGGCTTTTCTGTCACACATCAACAGGAATCGGCCAGAGGTGCACCCATGCCCCTCCCCGCCCAAACCCCCCTCCCATCTCCCACCCCATCCCACCTTTGTGGCTTGTCACAGAGCCCCTGTTTGAGTTCCCTGAGCCATACAGCAAATTCCCGTTGGCTCTCTATTTTACATGTGGTCATGTAAATTCCCCTGTTACTATCTCCACACATCCCACCCTCCCCCTGCTCGCCTCCCCTTGTGTCCATGGGTCTGTTCTCTATGTCTGTTTCTCCAATGCTGTCCTGAAAATAAATTCATCAGTACCATCTTTTTAGATTCCATATATATGCGTCAGTATATGATATTTATATTTCTCTTTCTACCTTACTTCTCTCTGTATAATAGGCTGTAGGTTCATCCACATTAGAACTGACTCTAAGGTGTTCCTTTTTATGGCTGAGTAGTATTCCACTGTATGTATGTACCACAGTTTCTTTATCCATTCATCTATCAGTGGACATCTAGGGTTACTTCCATGTACTAGCTATTGTAAATAGTGCTGCAATGAACATTGGGGGTATATATGTCTTTTTCAATTTTGGTTTCCTCAGGGTATATGCCTAGTAGTGGGACTGCTAGGTCATATGGTGGTATTATTCCTAGCTTTTTAAGGAATCTCCATACCATCTTCCATAGTGACTGTGATCAATTTACATTGATTTACATTGATTACAGACTTTTTGATGATGGCCATTCTGACTGGTGTGAGGTGGTATCTCATTGTAGTTTTGATTTTCATTTCTCTAATAATGAGTGATGTTGAGCATCTTTTCATGTGTTTGTTAGCCACCTGTATGTATTCTTTGGAGAAATGTCTGTTTAGGTCTTTTTCCCACTTTTTGATTGGATTGTTTGTTTTTCTGTTACTGAGTTGTATGAGTTATTTGCATATTTTGGAAATTAATTCTTTGTCAGTTGTTTCCTTTGCTATTATTTTCTCCCATTCTGAGGGCTGTCTTTTCACTTTGTTTGTAGTTTCCTTTGCTGTGCAAAAGCTTTTAAGTTTAATTAGGTCCCACTTGTTTATTTTTGTTTTTATTTCCATTACTCTAGGAGGTGGGTCATAGAAGATCTTGCTTTGATTTACATCATCTAGTGTTCTGCCTATGTTTTCCTCTAAGAGTTTTTATAGTTTCTGGTCTTACATTTAGGTCTTTAATCCATTTTGAGTTTATCTTTGTGTATGGTGTTAGGAAGTGTTCTAATTTCTTTTTTTGCCCATAGCTCTCCAGTTTTCCCAGCACCACTTATTAAAGAGTCTGTCTTTGCCCCATTGTATATTCTGCCTCCTTTGTCAAAAATAAGGTACCCATAGGTGCGTGGGGTTTATCTCTGGGCTTTCTATCTTGTTCCATGGGTCTATATTTCTGATTTTGTGCAGTACCACACTGTCTTGATGACTGTAGCTTTGTAGTATAATCTTAAGTCAGGAAGCTTTATTCCTCCAGCTCCAGTCTTCTTTCTCAAGACTGCTTTGGCTATTCAGGGTCTTTTGTGTTTCCATATGAATTGTGAAATTTTTTGTTCTAGTTCTATGAAAAATGCCATTGGTAATTTGATAGGGATCACATTGAACCTGTAGATTGCATTCAGTAGTATAGTCATTTTTCACAATGTTGATTCTTCCTACCTAGGAACATGGAATATCTCTCCATCTATTTATGTCATCTTTGATTTCTTTCATCAGTGTCCTGTAATTTTCCGTATACACGTCTTTTGTCTCCTTAAGTAGGTTTATTCCTAGATATTTTATTCTTTTTGTTGCAGTGGTGAATGGGATTGATTCCTTAATTGCTCTTTCTGATTTTTCATTGGTAGTATATAGGGATGCAAGTGATTTCTGTGTACTGAACTTGTATCCTGCAACTTTGCTGAATTCGCTGATTAGCTCTAGTGATTTTCTGATGGTTTCTTTTGGATTTTTTATGTGTAGTATCATGTCATCTGCAAACAGTGAGAGTTTTATTTCTCCTTTTCCAGTCTGGATTCCTTTTATTTCTTTTCCTTCTCTAATTGTCATGGCTAGGACTTCCAAAACTATGTTGAATAATAGTGGTGAGAGTGGATACCCTTGTCTTGTTCCTGATCTTAGAGGGACTGCTTTTAGTTTAAACCATTAACAATGTTTGCTGTGGGCTTAATCATATATGGCCTTTACTATGTTGAGGTAGATTCCTTCTATGCCCATTTTGTGAAGTGCTTTTATCATAAATGGGTGCTCAATTTTGTCAAAGGCTTTTTCTGCATCTATTTATATGATCATATGGTTTTTATCTTTCAACTTGTTAATATAGTGTATCACATTGACTGGTTTGTGTATATTGAAGAATCTTTGCATTCCTGGGATAAACCCAACTTGATCATGGTGTATGAGCTTTTTAATGTGTTGTTGAATTCTGTTTGCTAGAATTTTGTTGAGGATTTTTTCATCTATGTTCATCAGTGATTCTGGCCTGTAATTTTCCTTTTTTGTGTTGTCTTTGCCTCGTTTTGGTATCAGGGTGATTGTGGCCTCATAGAATGACTTTGGAAGTGTTCTTTCCTCTGCAATTTTTTGGAAGAGTTTCAGAAAAATAAGCATTAGCTCTTCTCTAAATGTTTGATAGAATTCTGTGAAGCCATCTGGCCCCTTGGGAGATTTTTGATCACAGTTTCAGTGTGTGTACTTGGCTTGTTCATAATTTCTGTTTCTTCCTGTTGAACTTTCCTAAGAATCTGTCTATTTCCTCTAAGCTGTCCATTTTATTAGCCTATAGTTGCTTATAATATTCTCTTATTGTCCTTTGTATTTCTGTGTTGTCTGTTGTAACCTTTCCTTTTTCATTTCTAATTTTGTTGATTTGATTTTTCTCCCTTTATTTCTTGATGAGTCTGGCTAGTGGTTGTCAATTTTGTTTATCTTCTCTACGAACCATCTTTTAGTTTTATTCACCTTTGCTATTGTTTCCTTCGTTTCTTTTTCATTTATTTCTGCTCTGATCTTTATGATTTATTTCCTTCTAGTGACTTTTTTTGTTCTTTTTCCAGCTGTATTAGATGTAGAGTTAGGCTGTCTATCCGATGTTTTTCTTGTTTCTTGAGGTAGGATTGTATTGCTATAAACTTCCCTCTTAAAACGGCTTTTGCTGAATCCCATAGGTTTTGGGTCATCATGTTTTTGTTGTCATTTGTTTCAGGAATCTTTTGATTTCCCTTCTTATTTCTTCAGTAACATCTTCATTATTTAGTAATGTACTGTTTAATCTCCATGAGTTTGTGTTTTTTGCAATTTTTCCCTGTAGTTGATATCTAGTCTTATAGTGGTGTGTTCAGAGAAGATTCTTGAGACTATATAGGAGGAATACACAGGGTGATTTATAGGAAAAAATAAGGGGAAAAAAAAAAAAAGGTTCTGAAGGTCATACTTCTGTGGAGTCTGCCCCTTGGATGGGGTCGGGTTAGCTCCTGTGATGTTTTCCTGGTTGCGGGAGCTTGTGCCTATGTTCTGGTTGATGGAGCTGGATCTCCTCTCTCTGAAGGGCCGTGCAGTGTGCGGCAGTCTCTATGGGTCCAGTATGTGTTTGGGCAGTCCTTCTGGCCCTGGCAGTGTTAGACACCTCTGTTTCCACAGCTGCTTCAAAGTGGCCCTCTCAGCGTGTCTCCACTGCCGCCAGCCCCTGACTTGTCCTGGGGATCATTGCTATGCTTCTGTTACCCTGTCCCGCCCTGCACTACTGGCCGAAGCTTGCTGGGTAGGGGTTTGTGTGGATCTTTTTTTGGTTCCCCGACTGCGCCCTCTGTGTCGCGGAGATTTCTGTGGGCTTCCCTCAGCCCCCGGAGCTCACCCCGCTGTGTTGCGGGGCTCGTGTGCCCTTGTCTCAGCTTCATGGGCCCGGCCTCTGCGTCACGGGCTTGTGTGCGCTTGTCTGGGCTCCCCGGGCCCATCCTCTGCGTCACGGGCTTGCGTGCGCTTGTCTGGGCTCCCCCAGCCCATTCTCTGCGTCAT